CTCGCTACCACCTACCACCCCCCACCACCACTCACCCGCCACCCACCACCCACCGTCACTACTTTCCACCACTGTCTTCCGTCGCCACCACCCGCCACTTGCCACCACTTTTCACCATCATCTTCTACCACCACCACCCACCACCCACCGTCACTACTTTCCACCACCGTCTTCCGCCGCCACTTGCCACCACTTGCTATTTCTTACTCTTTTTTATATTTTTAAATTTTGAAAAATATTTTGTCAATTACCAAGCGCGTTTGTAATTTATGTTTTTTTAAAAATAAACAAAAATCAATTTATAAAATTTTTGTAAATATAAACTGAAAACGAAAACGTTACTAAAGAGACCCTTACAATTTATTTAAGTGAGAAATAAAATAAATTTCTCTAACAATCTTCATATACTCAATGAGATATTAACATACGTATTTTTCATATATTTTTAAAATGATAGCTACCGAGAGAGACTATTGACTAATAAATGTGTGAAGTTCAGAAATATAATTGATCCGAATTAATGTTTATAAATCAAAATAAAATAAAATATTTATTTTAGAGACTATTTTGCTTAATTTACCTTTTTATTTATTTATTTGCAATCATTGATATGCCGTTGGATCTCCACCCTATTCTATTTTAATCAATAGATCTTTTTCCTAATGCCTCTCTCCTGTTGTCATATCATATACATGCGTATCGTGCAAAGTAGGCTGTCATATTACAATTCAAAAAAAAAAAAACTTTTTGTTGTCAAGGGTAGTCTCACATAAAAACGGTTTAATAACAGCATAACTAATCGCATTGTCCTTGAGAGACAAAGAGAGACCCTAGTTCAACGACTTCTATGAATATTTTGGGAAGTTGATAAAAAATTAATTTTTAATTTTTTTATTTATTTTAAGTTATATTATTTCTTATATAATTTATTTATAAAAAAATAAAATAAATTAAAAAAGTTAAAAAAATTAATTTTTTACTAACTTATCAAAACATCCTTATGTCAGTAAGATGTCCTACGCTAGCTTTTGAATTGTAATTCTTTAATTTTGAGACAAATTACCAACACCTCTCTCGAGATTTAACTAAAATACAGATTCTCTCTGAAGTTTGAGAAATTAAATCCTATTCTTGAGATTTATATTTGCATAATAAACTACCACATGAGATTTATATCTGCATAACAAATTATCCCTTTATTTGTTATTTAAATATAAATCTCATGGAGCAATTTGTAATTTTTCAAATTTCAAGGATAAATCCGTATTTTAGACAAATCTCGAAGCGGTGTTGATAATTTGCCCTTAATTTTATAATTGTGGATATTCAATTGCATCTTTTTAAACTTTTGCTATCAATAGATTTAGAATTTGTTGTATTTTGAAGGGGATTTGTCAAAAATTTATACAAAAAATCTTTTGAGTGAGAACAAATTTCGACTTAAATACAATCAGTGTATTTAGTTTGAGTTTTTTGGATTAATTTTTTTAAAAATTGAGTTTTTTATTTTTCATATTTTTTTGTTTTTAGTGAATGTTTTTAAAATTTTAACCATTTTTCTTACTTTTTTAGATGCAGCTTACTTAGATGTATCTAAAAAGTAAAAAAAATGTGAAAAAATATTTTTAAAAATTAACAAATACATAAAAACACAAAAAATATACCAAACTTTCGTTTTTTTTATTATTTTTGGTATTTATTGAATTTTTAAAAGATTTTTTCACAGAATATATTTTTTATGTGTATTTATGTTAAGCGTGTCTAAAAATTAAAAAAAAATTCCTTAAAATATTAAAAAAATTCAATAAAAACAAAAAAATACGAAAAACAAGAAAGTAGAATTTTTTAAAAATTATTTTTAGAAAAACAAAACCAAACAAACTGATATTATTCATGTCTCAAAATAATTCACTATGACTTTTTCTTATAGTGTTGGGGTGATTATTTTCAGTTGGAGTCGAAATAACTAACAAAGATCTATGATTTGCTATTTTATTCTCTACTCAAAGATTAATAAATGATGACTACTTACATTTTTAGTAACAATCGCTCATATTTAAGTGGGACTCAACATTCTGAAACACACAAAATTAGAAGTGTTAGTATCATTAATATTTTTTAAGAAAGTTATACTTCGAATATAGAAAAAAAATTAAATAATAGAACAGAAATATCAAACAGACAAATAAGACCCGCATATGAAGTACACCATTTGTCTCATATGTATTTAATTATGTGAAATTTTTATGTGTAATTAGAATGAACTATTTTCTTTTAGTGTTGATAAATAAGGGTGGAGACTCCACTTTCAAAGCTACAATAAACTATTTTCTTTTATAGTTCTTGAATATCTTTATAAAAAAAAAATTAACATAATAAAAATGCATTTATAAAATAATAAAATATATTTATAGAAAAATAATTGCAAGTTTATAAAGTTTTATTTGATATAACTTATTTCAATGGTTAGAATTAAATTTAAAAAAAAAACAAAAAAAAAAAACTAATCTATCCCAAAAACTTTCATTACCCAATCCAGCTAAAAAAAAAAATGATCAATCCTTTATGTCTTTACAATTTTATCAAACTTAAGTGAAAAAAGAGTTGTTAGAAAATAAATTTTCAAAAAAAAATGATTAATTCCTCATTTGATAAATTGTTTTGTAACAAAGTTTGATGAATAAATTGAATTTTATTTTTATTAAATTTTTTATGAGATTTAAATTTGAGAAAAGATTTAATAAAGGATAAATTACATTTTACATCCTTTTTTTTGTTTGGCCTTAATTTCTCTTTTGATTTTAAAAGTTTGTTTGTTTTTTTTTTTTTTTCTCACTTTGGTCTTTCACGTTTCAATCTTTTTTTCAATTTACTCCCAAAGCTAATTTATGTACAAAATTAGACCCCCGCCCAAAAAAAATAGTAAATTACACTTTGCCCAGTAGTATTTTGTCATTTTTTCACTTTGGCCTTTCATGTTGCAAATTTTTTCCAAATTATTCTTAAAACTAACTTTTGTTCAAATTAGTTAGAAAATATCATATTAACTGTCACATAACATAAAAATTGTATTATTAAATTTGGGATTTGAATTTGTGTCAGAGTTATACATAATTTTATGTTATGTGGCTAATGTGTCATTTTTTGTCTAATTTTGGGCATAGGTTATTTTTGGAGTATATTGAAAAAATCTTGAAATATGAAAGACCAAAGTGATATAAAAAAAAACAAATAGTAAGGGCCAAAATGAAAAAATAACCAAACATAAAGGGGCAATAATTTACCCTTTAATAAATAATTAGAGATGGGGTAAATTATACACTTCCTAAGATTTGCTTAAAATAAAAATTGATCTCTGTGATTTAAAAAAATACAATTATCTGTTAGTCAAAATTTCTTTATTTAATAGAATTAATTGAAAATTAAAATTTATAACTATCCTCCTATACAATAATAAACTTACATAAATTATTAATTGAAATATATTTATGACATTATTAAAAACTATTGAGTTAATGATTTGTTAATAAGATGAACTATTTGTTATGAAATTAATCGTAAAATGTGAAATATAATTTTTAAAACTATAAAAGATAAATCGTGCTTTAAGGTCTCATTTGACAACTTAATATTTTAGCTTAGGCCTTTAAAAAGATTGTTAAAAGTTATCTTCTAACCTTTAACCTATTTTGGCTCGCACTATCTCTTTACTTTTTTATACGTTTTTTTTTTTAAAAAGCCAAAAAAAAATAATTAAAAAGTCAGATTTTAACCAACTTCTCAAAACAATCCTTAAAAGTTAAAATGTCACTAAAAAAATTATGGGCAAATTATACTAATGGTCCCTATAATTTGGGATTTATATTACTTTGGTCACAACTTTTCAATTGTGACACATTTAACCATAAATTTGAATCTTGTTCCAAATAAAGACAATTGAATATACCATTACTTAATTTTAAGGATAAAATCATCAATTTGATAAAATATAAACTAATTTGATAAAAATAAATGTCAATTTTTTTTTGAATTTTTAAAAGTTATTTCTATCCATTAAAAATAAAATTATGTAAAATTGATAAATCTCTTAGACATTTATTTATTTCTTTCTTTATCAAATTAATTTTTATTGTGTGTCTGAATAATGATCATGTAATGGGTGATTGTTTTTATTTTCATTAAATTAGTTTCTATTTTTTCAAAAGTTAAATATGACGACAACTTTGATATCATTATTAAATCAAAAAATCCAAAACTAAAAAGATTTCATATATTAAATATGTGGATTACATATTAAAATCCTAACAACCACCCATTATATGATTATCATCCAAACACATAATAAAAATTAATTTGGTAAAAATAAATAAATATCTAAAAGATTTATCAGTTTTTCATAATTTTATATTTGGTTTGTAGAAATAATTTTAAAAATTAAAAAATATTTTTTTGACATTTATTTTTATCAAATTAGTTTATATTTTATTAAATTAACAAATTTTATCCTTGAAATTAAGCAAGGGTATCTTCAATTGTCCTTATTTGGAACAAGATTCAAAATTTAGGATCAAATATATCACAATTAAAAAGTCAGGGACCAAAGTGACACGAGTCCCAAACTGTAGGGACTGTTAATGTAATTCACTCAAAAATTAAAAATCCAACAACCTATACAAAAAGTTAAAAATTCATTTTTTCTTTACTCTTTATATATTTTTCATAAAAAATTAAAAATGCATTCCAAAATATTAAATACTTTTATCTCATATTTCAATTAAAAAATTAAAAAGAAAAATACATCAGACCCGACTGGAATGACCCCAGACCCAGTGGGGTCTGATTGGTCAAAAAAAAAAATTTCTTGTCATTTGCAGCACTCCACGTAGACTGAGGGTGCTGGTTCCCAGCACGGTTGAATTAAAAATTACTAGTAATATATTATCAACCCAGACCTAAGTAATCTCGATGTACTTGTAATTTGCCCCTGGAGGTTGGATATGCATAGTAGCAATAAAATACTATACATCAACATCATGAATCATCATCATCACCCATCATTCAATTCTGTCTCACTTTCACATACACACGCGCACACACCCAATCTCCCCTCTCTCTCCCTCTTTCTCTCTCAGTAGCTCGCTCACTCACTGAATTCCACTCACACCCCCACAATCATCTCTGCTTCACTCCAGAGAAGAGACCAAAAATGGCTACTTGTTCCAATTCCCATTTTACCCCTCTCACATTCCTCTATTTCCTTCTCTTCACTTCCACTTGTCCCTCCATTTCATCAGCCCTAAACATCACCAATCTCCTCTCCTCCTACTCCGATCTCTCCTCCTTCTCCAACCTCCTCACCACCACCTCCGTCGCCACCGATCTGACCCACCGCTCCTCCCTCACCCTCCTTGTCGTCCCCAACTCCTTCCTCCTCTCCTCCGATCTGACCCACCACCCCTCCACCATCTCCATCCCCGACATCCTCCGCTACCACGTCCTCCTCGAATTCCTCTCTTGGTCCGACTTCCTCCACATTCCCCCCTCTGGCAAACTCATCACCACTCTCTACCAGACCACCGGCCGCGCCACCAACAACTTCGGCTCCCTCAACATCACCCACGACCCCACCACCAACGCCGTCCAAGTCCGCTCCCCCTCCTCTTCCTCCGCCGCTAACGCCACCGTACTCTCTCTCATCAAGACCCTTCCCTACAATATCAGCATCTTCTCTGTCAATTCACTTCTAATCCCATCTGGGTTCGATCTAATGGCCTCCGAGACTCGTCCCCCATTGGGTCTCAACATCACCAAAGCCCTCATCGATGGCCACAACTTCAACGTCGCTGCTTCCATCCTCGCCGCCTCCGGCGTCGCCGACGAGTTTGCTCAGGACGAAGGCGGCGCCGGAATCACCCTCTTCGTCCCTACCGACGACGCGTTTTCCGATCTCCCTGCGACGGCGAGTTTCCAATCGCTTCCCGCCGATGAGAAAGCCACGGTGCTGAGATTTCACGTTCTCCACTCGTACTACCCTCTCGGCTCCCTCGAATCGATTGTGAACCCGGTTCAACCCACCTTGGCCACGGAGGACATGGGTGCCGGACGGTTCACACTGAACATTTCTAGGGTTAATGGGTCGGTGGCGATCGATACAGGAATCGTTCAGGCTTCGGTGACACAGACTGTGTCTGATCAAAACCCAGTTGCGATTTTTGGGGTTTCGAGAGTTTTGTTGCCGAGAGAGATATTTGGGAAGAACCCAATCGTTGATATTGCCGCTGGTGGCGCTCAGCCCCCTGATGTTTCATTATCACCGGAGAATTCGCCGGAATTGTATGGGCCACCGAGTCATTTGTTATCGCCGCTGGGTCAAGAAATCCGATCCGAAGCGGCCGGGAATGGCGTACAGAGATTCGTTCTTGCTCTTTGTTGTATAGCGTTGTATCTATAGGTAGGTACGAGATTGATCATTTCTCATCATAATTATTAATTTTTTCTTTCTTTTTTTTTTCTGAGTTTGTTTGTGTATTTTTGTGATTGATTACCATACGAGTAATTGAATTTGGGGGCTACAAAATTAGCCTCTTTTTTTTTTTTTCTACTGATGATGATGATGATGTTCGTTGTGTTGATTTTGAAATAATTTAGATGAAAGAGGACCAATTTTGCTTCTAGATTTGCATTTTGTTGTTGTAAAAAGATGATCAATGTTATCAACTCAATTGTGGATTTTGAATAAGCATATATTTGGGTTTCTTTCTAGTTCTTGTTGTCTAATTCTTTCCCATGCAGCAACTGAAATAATGGTTTCTAGGCAAATTATAGTTCGTGGTTATAGTTTTCCAATTGTATCAATCAATTTCATCTTTATAGTTGTAATTGCATTAAATTTATTCTTGAATTTGTATTTTTTTTTGACATCCTCCGCTACCACGTCCTCCTCGAATTCCTCTCTTGGTCCGACTTCCTCCACATTCCCCCCTCTGGCAAACTCATCACCACTCTCTACCAGACCACCGGCCGCGCCACCAACAACTTCGGCTCCCTCAACATCACCCACGACCCCACCACCAACACCGTCCAAGTCCGCTCCCCCTCCTCCTCTTCCTCCGCCGCCAACGCCACCGTACTCTCTCTCATCAAGACCCTTCCCTACAATATCAGCATCTTCTCTGTCAATTCACTCCTAATCCCATCTGGGTTCGATCTAATGGCCTCCGAGACTCGTCCCCCATTGGGTCTCAACATCACCAAAGCCCTCATCGATGGCCACAACTTCAACGTCGCTGCTTCCATCCTCGCCGCCTCCGGCGTCGCCGACGAGTTTGCTCAGGACGAAGGCGGCGCCGGAATCACCCTCTTCGTCCCTACCGACGACGCGTTTTCCGATCTCCCTGCGACGGCGAGTTTCCAATCGCTTCCCGCCGATGAGAAAGCCACGGTGCTGAGATTTCACGTTCTCCACTCGTACTACCCTCTCGGCTCCCTCGAATCGATTGTGAACCCGGTTCAACCCACCTTGGCCACGGAGGACATGGGTGCCGGACGGTTCACACTGAACATTTCTAGGGTTAATGGGTCGGTGGCGATCGATACAGGAATCGTTCAGGCTTCGGTGACACAGACTGTGTCTGATCAAAACCCAGTTGCGATTTTTGGGGTTTCGAGAGTTTTGTTGCCGAGAGAGATATTTGGGAAGAACCCAATCGTTGATATTGCCGCTGGTGGCGCTCAGCCCCCTGATGTTTCATTATCACCGGAGAATTCGCCGGAATTGTATGGGCCACCGAGTCATTTGTTATCGCCGCTGGGTCAAGAAATCCGATCCGAAGCGGCCGGGAATGGCGTACAGAGATTCGTTCTTGCTCTTTGTTGTATAGCGTTGTATCTATAGGTACGAGATTGATCATTTCTCATCATAATTATTAATTTTTTCTTTCTTTTTTTTTCTGAGTTTGTTTGTGTATTTTTGCGATTGATTACCATACGAGTAATTGAATATGGGGGTTACAAAATTAGCCTCTTTTTTTTTTTTTTTTTTTTTTTTTTATGATGATGATGATGTTCGTTGTGTTGATTTTGAAATAATTTAGATGAAAGAGGACCAATTTTGCTTCTAGATTTGCATTTTGTTGTTGTAAAAAGATGATCAATGTTATCAACTCAATTGTGGATTTTGAATAAGCATATATTTGGGTTTCTTTCTAGTTCTTGTTGTCTAATTCTTTCCCATGCAGCAACTGAAATAATGGTTTCTAGGCAAATTATAGTTCGTGGTTATAGTTTTCCAATTGTATCAATCAATTTCATCTTTATAGTTGTAATTGCATTAAATTTATTCTTGAATTTGTATTTTTTTTTTTAACAAAGAAATGCCAAAAGGCTACAAAGCATCTTGAATTTGTACTATTGTGCTATTTTTAGTTCACTTGATAGTGATGTGTTAGTAATCAAAACCAAAATAATAATCAATTTACTCTCTTTAAAGCGGTTTGAGTGGTTAGTTCAATAGATGATTTTGCTCTCAATTTTTTTCTAACTTCTTAACAGTTCAATTAAATTAGCATAATTATACCAAAATTTCCTCACCCATCAATGAATATTATTTACTTATCTATAAATTGGGATATATTAACCCATTCAATTATGAAAACGTACCAATATATCATTTCAAATGTGGTTTGGATGGGTAAAAATGATATGTTTTTACAGATAAAATGGTCCAAATGTACAAATTTATAAATGGAAAAATAAAGTGATATTAATTAGTAGCCAAGAATTAATAGACAAAATTGATAGAATTGGTACTCTAACAACCAAGTTGAAATGAGGTAAATTAGAAAGATGACATAATTGGGGAAATTTTAGTCTTGGTGAAGTCTCAATCACCCTAGTGAAATTGTGTATTGTTTACGTTTTGACATAAATTTTTTAAAGGGTTAATTACATTAATAGTTCCTATAGTTTGAAATTTATGTCACTTTAGTTTTTAATTTTTTAATTGTGACATATTTGACCATGAATTTTGAATCTTATTCCCAATAAGGACAATTGAAAATATTATTAGATTTTTCAAAAGTAAAATCGTTAATTTGATAAAATATAAACTAATTTGACAAAAATAAATGTCAAAAAAATATTTTAAATTATTTTTATCCACCAATGATAAAATTATGTAAAATTAATAAAAATTACATGATTGATTTTTAAAAATTAATTTTACATGATCATCATCCAAGCACATAATAAAAATTAATTTGGTAAAAAAATAAATAAATGTCTAAAAAATTTATCAATTTTATATAATTTTATTTGTAGTAGGTAGAAATAATTTTTTAAAATTTAAAAATATTTGTTTGACATTTATTTTTGTTAAATTAGTTTATATTTTATCAAATTGACAATTTTATCCTTAAAAAATCTAATGATATCTTCAATTGTCCTTATTTGGAACAAGATTCAAAATTCATGGTCAAATGTGTCACAATTGAAAAGTTAGGGACCAAAGTGACACAAGCCCCAAACTATAGAAACTATTTGTGTAATTTGTCCTTTTTTAAAAAAAATTTGGAGAAAGTTTAAAAATTATTTTGATTTGTTTAGTTTGTATATTTTGAAAAAGCCATGCTAAAGGCCTCAAAAAGAGACGTGCGAATTTGCCTCAAGTTGGATTTTTTTTTTTTTTGTGAAAGGGTGGTTATGTGTGCCTTAAAATCTAAACCTAAATAAAAATAAATAAAAAAAAAAACAAATACAACCCAACAAATAAAATAAAATTAAATTAAATTAAAAAAAAAAAAACAAACCAACACAGTCCAACAAATAATAAAAAAAGGGATATTTTTTTTAAGGTCCCTAATATGATGATTTTATAATATAAAGGACATCAAATATTTTCATGATGTCTAAGGTCCCTCAACATTAATTCAGAGAAAATTCAGTCCTAGAGAAAATTGGTCCAGAGAAAATTCACGTCACAGAGAAAATTGGTCCAGAGAAATTCTGCCAGAGAAAATTTAGTTCAAAAATCAGAGAATTTCTCCGGTTTTAACCCAAAGAAAATTCAGTTAAAAAACCAGAGAATTTCTCTGGTTTCAACTTCAAATGAAACAAAATACTTAATTGATCCCAATTACTTAACTGAAACAAAATACTCATAGCCTACCAGTTTTCAATATACAACAAATGTCATATTCATTCGATATATAAGATCATTCAATGCAGTTTACAGGTTAACAAAGAAAAATAATAATAAAAAAGAAATGACTAGCAGATTCATATTAAATCTCCTAATCATTAGTTACCACTTCCATAATTACAAAGTAGCAAGTTTCTTAAAGGCCCATATCAGATATTGTTCCCTAAATTCTGAAGCCACGCTTTTATGTTGACAGCCCCAAGTTTTCACCTTTGCAGCAAGCAATGGGCTTCTGGTCCATCCAAAGCTCCATAGAATATTAATCATTGTAAAATTCATTATTAGTAGCACTTTGTCTAATCATATTTGAAAAAACTCCTTGGTTCCCTCCAAAGATAGGACACTTGAGAAAGTTGAAAGTTCAATACACAACTCAGTCAATACTTAAATGATCACTTCCCTTCTTTTTGGGCCAAAAAAATAAATTTTTTTTTTTTTTTTGTTGCAGGCATTGATTAACTGCATGGATAAACAGACACATTTGGCTGCTTCTATACCACCAACAGATCATGCATAAGCCCAGAATAAAAGCACACACAAGAACATTTTTGAAGCGAAGGCCAACTGATGTACTAAGGCAACAAGTACTAAATAGGCATGATACCGACTTCCCTCTATGTATCATGCACACACGCGCGCACACAGTTTTGTATAGTTAGGAGATGACGAGAATGTCCACCAAGTTCCAAGTCAGAGGAACTACTTTGTCTATTAGGAACTTTATCACCCACATAATCATTGCAAATTTGCAAGGTGAGAAGCTACTAAACAGAGAAATTGGAATTTTCTCTGGGTTGAACTCAGAGAAATTCTGAATTTTCTCTGGAACTATAAAACTCTGATTTGATCAATTTATCTTTGGTTCTACTGCTGCTGATTCAATCACAATTTCCTGCACAAACAAATTAATAGTTCTTCAATCACAATTCAATCACAATTTCATGGACTCCAGAGAAATTTCAAATTTCTCTGCCGTGGGTTTGATCCTCCACCATTGTTGTTACTGTTGTAAGTGGCTGTACTGATGTTTCAAATTTCCGTTTACTCTGGCCATTTCACACCAATCAACAGAGAAATTCTGCCCTAAATTTACCTCCAGAAAAATTCAAAATTTCTCTGGAACTGATATTGATGAACAAAAGACAAGGAAAAAAAAGAGATGAGAGGGGCTAGCTATGAAAAAAGTAATTGTTTTGTTTCAGGTTCTGGTTATGGAGTATAATGACTATGTTGTTGCTTATGTGGCCGTGACAAATCAGCAACCTCACTGCCAGACTCCAATGGTCTGAGATTGGGTTCTGGTGAAGGTGTTTCAAACGGGAACGACCTTGACATTGTCTGCCTTGACATCGGGCCACAGAGGCTGAGGAAGACGACGGAGGACAAGACGGTCCGTGGTGGAACCAAGCATGGCCGATCCGGTTGCGAGGCCGTAGACACGCCCCCTTCCAAGCCCTAGCCTCCGGTGCCAAACTGTGACAACAACGATTGTTCCGACGCAATCGATCACCTTCGACTTTCTCTCTACTCAAATCAAGCTTACTCACCGCCTCTGTATGTATGTATGTATGTACATGTCTGTGTGTGTGCGTGAGAGTAGACAAAAAGAAAGGCGCTAAATTTCTCTGTGATAGATGGGAGGGACTTTAGACATCAAAAAATAATTTTGTGGATCTCTTCCATTATGAAAAGTGGGAGAGGGACCCTAGACCAATTTTCCCTAAAAAAAAACCAACAACAACAACTTAGCCTATGTGGTTTGATAAGGTGAGTGAGTTGGGTTGGACTGATTGGGTGATAAAATTGACTGATCAGTTAGACTGCAGGTTAAAATTTGTTAATTCATATAATTTTGTACGAGTCCCACTATATTTTTATTTCAAATCAAGAAAATAAAAATAAATAACAACAGCTCAACAAATAAATTAAAAAAACCAAACCAATACAACCCAACAAATAAATAAATAAAAAATAATAAAAACAATCAAACCAACAAAGTCAAAAAAGAAAACAAAAAAAACAATTCGAGCCACATTCTAGGCCTTAATCTTTTTTCATTTTGAAAATAGTTTTAGAGTTTGGGATGATTTGATATTTTGTTGTAATTGAGTAGATGTGTGTGAGAGAAAAAATAATTGAGAATGAGAGAGGAAAGAGAAAAAGTGATTGATTGATATGTAATAGAGAGAGAAGTAATTTTGAAATTTTTTAAAAAAAATTTGTAACCAAACATATTTTTAAAATTTTCTTCTGAAAATATGTTTTAAAATGCAAACCAGACCCACCCAACTCTTAACATTCATCTAAAAATTATAACATAGATTCAGAACACAACATCACCAATTGACCGATCATTGAGTGTGTTGTGATTTGTTTACTATTGCTCTTATTTTGTAAACCGGTTCTGATTCGTAGCTCGAATTTGGAGGCTCGAATTTGGCTCGAATTCGGAGAAGAAGAAGAAGAGAAGAAGAAGAAGAAGAAGAAGAAGAAGAAGAAGAATGAGAGAATGAGAAAGAAGAAGGAGAAGAAGAAGTGGACTGGAGGGGGCAACAAAATCGGGTGGATGCGGAGGCGGAAGCGGAGGTAGAGGTGGAGGCGGAGGAGGCGGCGGGCGGAGGCAGAGGTAGAGGCGGAGGCGGAGGCGGGGCTGCGATGCAACGATCGGCCGACAAACAACGAGCTGCGACGCCGACGAGCTACGACAACGACGATGACTCTGTTTCTCTCTCGCCTCTACTCTTCTCCTGTGTTCAACGAAGAAGAAGAAAAGAAAGAAAGAAAAGGAAGAGAAAGAAAAAGCAGAAAAAAAAAATCGATTTGGGTTTTGAGCCGAATTCGGGCAACCAAATTCGAACCACGAGTCATTTTTCTTTGTAAACCAGGTAAGTATGTAGCTTGAGCGCACAAATATTATAATTTACATATCGTTTCAAAGCTTACAACTAAAATTCATAAAGAGCTCTGCTGGGAACCCCAGTGGGGGTGACCCCCCCCAACACCCCCCAC